GCAGCACGTAAAGCCATCCTGTCCGTCTGCCCCACACAACCCCACCGGGGTCTCACTGCAGAGACTGCTGAATTGTTCTCCCAGAGTGATAACAGCTAATGGTGTGACCTTGGTTCTTTGCCTGCCTTTATGCTCCTCTGTTTACGTGTTTGTGTAAAGAAGCATTACCCTCCCTGGGTCAAAAAGGCCTGTTTAACTGAAGCAAAGAGTCCCAGGATAATTATAGTTACTAAGTAACTTTCATCTCAGAATGAACTGGTTAAGGCTATTGAGATGTGTGTCGACTTCTCCTTTGGTCCAAACCATCTGACTTCAATATACCTCCAGTCCTCAGCGCTCTGAAGACAGCCTGCATTCAAAAACCATTCCTCGAGATTAGAAGCCAGAACAGATTGTGTCCATTGTGTACTAAGTCTGGATGGGACTCCAGAAATGCACACTGTCCCCAGTTTCACACCAGAGCTTTAGATGTGCTAAGAACTTCATATGCTCTATGGCAGAAAAGTGAATGTTAGTGTAAACAACAGCGGCTCTGGATTTGTCTCGCCTTGGGCATATTTATCCAGGGCACTGCCATTACATCATTCACATTACGACTTGTATTATCGGCTGTTTCAGATCCTAGAAGCTGACACAAGCTCTAGTCCATAGGTCAAGACGCTGTCAGACTTCAGATGATCCTGAAAGAATAACAGAAAGAACTCTGCCAGCAGCAGGGAAATAGTAATTGCAGCAGTGCAATGTCAGACAAATTGCGTGAGGGAATCTAAATTATATTTATTTTTTGAAAACGAAGCTTTATTGCTGAGAATTTAGATACTGCGTGTTAAAATCCATCTGTAAAAGGCTACCACAGCTTCGTCTTTGAGGACTGAATATGGTAATTTGGGGCTTTTTATGGTGTCGGAAGAGACCACAAATGATATAAGAACTTCCTTCCACCAACTATATAAAAAAAAAGCAAAGATATCCTACTGTACTTTGGAGTAACTGCATAAAACATGATGATTCATGTGATTAGAAATTCTCCTTTATTTTTCCTCTGTGCACAGCGCTGCTCTTGGTGAACTGTTCATCACAGTGCGTAATTACATTCCTTTCACCTCAACTGTTTCTGCGTTTTTTCATTTCTTTTTTCTGAAATGCTGATTGTTCTGGAGTGTTTTGATGTCCTGGAAGCAATCTGTATGCATAGACTCGGCTGTTGGCTTATGAGAAATTCAGCCCTTGGACAAAAGATTGCCAAGATGTGGAGTCCCTTAACGGTCTGATGGTACCCAGCTCTGTGTGGTTGCTGCTGAGATAAAGGTTCAAGGCAAAAGTACAGAGCGTCTTCTTGAACTTAGGGTTATTGTACAGCCCTGCTTTCCTTCTGAGGACCTCCGCTGTTGGCAAACAGTGCCCTGGGGTCAGCAGGAGATGGCTCTTGCCCTGCTCACCAGCATGAAGCTCCATGTCATCATGAGCAGAAGCGGAGGTGTCTGAGAACTGTTCGAGTACAGCTTGCACTTCTATGGGGAAACCCACCGACCACAGCCTCAGGGCTTCTGCACTTGGATTTCATTAGTGTTATCGGTGGCCTCTAACCTGGAGCACTCATCCACTGGGATGGTCTGTAAAGGCTCTGCTTTCCCTCGAGCAGCAAGTGACTCACAGTGCCTAGTCCTCCTAGAATCATAGAATCACAGAATCATTACGGCTGGGAAAGACCACTAAGATCATCTACTCCAAGCACCATCCCATCCCCACCATAGCACTGACCGCATCCATCAGTGCCACATCTCCATGGTTCTTGAACACCTTCAGGAACAGTCACCCCACCACCACCCTAGAACTGCTGTGCCAGTGCATCACCACTCCTTCCGAGGTGAAGTGTTCCCTAACACACAACCTGAACCTATTCTGGCTCAACTTCAGCTCCCCGAGCTCTGAATGGCCCGTGCCTTTTATCTGAAACACAAAAATGGCATCTGTCCAAACCCAGATCACAGCCTCACACTGAGGTTTGTTTTGCTGCTATCTCATCTTCCTGTTTTCTTGTCCGCTCTCCCCATCTCTTTGTTCTGTTTGCCCAGACTGTGCTGTGGTAAATGACGCTGGGAGCTGTGTGGGCAGGGAATGGGTTTTATTTTTAATAATAAAAAAAAAAAGCATGGTTACATCATCTTGCACAACAGGTCCCCGCTCTGAGGCTGGGCCAAGAGAGCCCGTAAGAGCTGCAAAAATATGAAAAACTCAGAACGGCAATAATTAAATGATATCACAGCGTGTTGTATGTAATAACAATACATTCTAGTCTGCTCCTTGCGTGGAAACTCCCAGGTATACCTGGCAACAAGGGAGAGAGAGAGAGAGAGAGCAGAATGCTAATGACAGAGGAGGAGGGGGCACCTAATAGCGCTTTGGCTAATTGCCAGTTTGCCTGCTCTGGAACAATCTGCCCGTGCTGAGCTGGGCATATTTTTGGCGTGTAGAAAATGAGGCTGGGTGTTGATAGGGCTGTATGTTTTCCTTCCTACAGTCGGTGGTGTGAAGGTCTGAGGAGCCACGAGGTCTGCGTGCAGCCCAGAGCAGCCTTCAGGGTTTGGAAACCCATAGCAGCGAGTCAGACCCAAGGAAAGAAACTGCAATTGTGGAGAGCACCAGATGTAAACTTACAGAATGGAGAAGTATTTTTGTGTTTTGTGGGTTTGGGGGGATTTTTTTTTCTTCTTTTTTTGTTGCTTGTTTGCTTGATTCTTCTTTTTTTAGTCAATCCAGATGACTGACTAAGGGCCTCTTTTCTCCTTCCCCGTAGGCAGAACAGAAGTCTCTGCTGATTGCTTGTTGCAAAAGGTCCCCGCTGACTTTACCTTTGGGTCTGTTCTACCATCTCTCATTGTTTCACATAAGCATTTCTCTGGTAATTAGACTGGTAATGACATAATCCCTGGTGGCCCTCCCGGAGCATCAGCCCTCTCTGGTTGAGAAAGCTCTGCTCGGGGGCAGCGTATTTTGTCTCTAAGTGGGGAGTCCGAGTGTTGTGAATGTTGCCCCGGTTATGATGGAAAACCTTGTAAAAGAGGAAAGTTTTGCTGCATTTCCTAGAAGTGATTCAGAATGCATTTGTCTGGTTTCCTCTGGAAGCTCACGGCAACCTTGGAGGTGAATGTTTTGTCCCTGGCTGCTTCCTTCTGGACCCTGAGGTCTGCACTGTCCCGGAGGAGCACAGATAGCTCTGCGATTTGCAGCTGCAGGTGCAGGCACTTTTTGTGGCTGGGCACAGATACGTTCAGAGCTTTGAAGACCAAGACCTTGAACTAGCAGTGGAAGCAGATTAAAAACTCTCTTCAGCTTCCTAAACTGCAACTGAACTTCTGCATGAAGCGACAAAGGAAAACAACCCCCTGGTTTCCAAGGACGTTTTTAAACACAGCAGAGATTTGATGTTTTATCTTTGTTGCCTTTCCTCTAAATGATTTCAAACTACCCATGGATACGAATGCCTCTAATTTCAAGGTTTTCCTTTTGGGATACAACAAAGTGAAGGCAGCAACTCAGAATTTTGGCTGCAGGCAGGAGAAGAACAGACATGTCCATGAGGGGACACAGCCATCCGTGGGAGCTGGAAGAAAAGAGAGGATTGGGAAGTTCTGGTTTCAGAAGCTTGTCCTCAGAGCTGGATGTAAGGGAGTTCTGCCCTAAGAACACAGGCTCTACAGGCTTATTGTACAGCAGCAGCTCCTCTGTCTGTGTTGGGAGGAAGAACAGCCTGGTGATGAGAGGCATGGCCACTTGCCCTGGCCACAGTCTGTGCCTCAGTTTTCCTCATGTGTAGAACAGAAGGGTTGGTATTGGTGGTCCTTACAAAACCCATTTGAGGTCTACTAATGAAAAGTGCTACAGTACTATCGCTCTGACTTTTATTCCTGCAGAATTAGTGCAGCCTGAAATCAGAGGGAGCCCTTCTGCAGGCAGGTTAGGATCACCTTTGTTCAAGGTTCTAACACCACTTGCTTGCCTTTGATTCCCATTTTAGTCCATGTGGTGTCAGCAGGGCTGTGGGGAACCATAGGCTGGGTCTGGTGCCTGGGTTCCCTCTGCTCTGCCTGCCATTGCTGGTGAGTGGCAGGGACGGACAGCCCACTGCCTTCCAGGTGTTGGCTGCCACACACACAGGCTCTGAACAATTGTGATTCCACTTCTGTTACACTTCCATGGAAAGTGAGCTGTTCCTTGTTCTTTTTTCTCCACTTTCATAGAATCGTAGAATCACAGAATGGCCATCTGGTCCCATCCCTGCAGGGCACAGGGAACCTGCAGCTCCATCAGGTGCTCAGAGCCCTAATCCAGCCTGACCTTGGGTGTCTCTAAGGATGGGGAATCCACCACACCCTTGGGAAGCCTGTGCCAATGCCTTAGCATCCTTATTATAAAAAACTTTTTTCTTGTATCCAATCTGGATTTCCCCTCTTTTAGTTTGAAACCGTTTCCCCTCGTCCTATCACAGCAGACCCTGCTAAGGAACCTGTCTCATTCTTTCTTATCACTCCCCTTTTTTATGTAGGGAAACTGATGCAGGCTGCATATCGCCAGTGTAGGAGAATGAACCGGACAAGAGGAGAATATTTATTTATTATGAGAATGTCTGAAGTTTTCCTTTCTGCTGGCTTTTGGGTTGAGAAGGAGCACCTTGCATGCCACCCAGAGTGAAAGGGTAAGTGCAGTGAAAATAATAATCAAAGAAAAAAAAAACAGCAAGAAAAAATAAAAAAAGAAGAAAAGAAAGGAAAAGGAAAGAGACAGCATTGTAAGTAAGGCTTAAAAATATACATTAAGAAGAAGAAGAAAAAAAAAAGGTAGTTGCAATGGGGCCGACCGGACTCCGGGTCCCGCCCGCTCCCGTCCCGCGGCGGCGCGGACTCCAAGGCCCGGCATGCGGCGGGGCGGCGCGCATGCGCGTTGCGGCGGGCTTGAGTGGCAAGTTGTTTGTTCAGCGAGCCCAGCTGCTCGCCCCGCGCCGCTGCTCTGCCCGGCTCCGCTCCGCTCCCGCCCCGCAACTTCGGCACCCGCATCCCCGCCCCCGGAGCCGGGTAGGGGGAGAAGGAGCCGAGGAGAGGGGAGGAAAAAAAGGAGAGGAAAAAAAAAAAAAAGGAAAAGGAGGAAAAAAACAAAAAACAACCACTACCAACAAGGCAGCGACAATAACAGCCCCCCCTCCCCCTCCCCATTCAAAAACACAAAATAAACCCCGGGGATAGATGAACTACAAATGAGAAAGAGGAAAAGATGGAACTGCACATCCTAGAGCACAGGCTCAGAGTGGCCAGCATAGCCAAGGAGAGCATCCAGTTGTTTACCTATGGATTAATCAAACTTGCTTTCCTGTCCTCCAAGACGAGGTAGGTGTCGGGGAT